AGGCCTGGTGCTGCCGGCGCTGCAAGGCCTGCCATGTCTGCGGGCGCCGCAGCCGCGCCTCTAAGGTGGGCCCCGGGGCATTGGGGGTAGGGCCTTGCGGTCGGGGCTGGGGGGCTTCACCAGGGCAATGTGGGTACGGGCCCCAAGGGGCATCTAGCTTGGCATTGTGAGTAGGCGGTCCTGAGGGCAGGGGCTGCCCCAGGGCATTGTGGGTAGGAACCTCTGAAGCAATGGCCTTGCCCTGAGGCATGGTGGGTAGGGGCCCTGGAGGGAATGGGGCTGCTCCAGGGCATTGTGGGTAGGAGCATGTGGGGGGGGCTGCCCCAGGGCATTGTGGGTAGGAGCATGGGGGGATGGGGCTGCCCCACGGCATTGTGGGTAGGGGACTGAAGTGAAAGGGCTGCCCCAGGGCATTGTGGCTAACAGCCCACTCGAGGGTACAGCTGCCCCTGGGGCATTACAGATAACGGCCCATGAGGGAATGTGGCTGCCCCAGGGCATTGTGAGCAACAGCTGGTGAGGTGAGGGGAGAGCAGGGAGGGACCCTGGTCCCCCACTTGGCCCTGAACCTCCCCGCCGTTGCTGTCTCCTCGCAGCATCTGCTGGAGTGCGAGCGGTGCCGGAACTGCTACCACCCGGCCTGCCTGGGCCCCAACTACCCCTCGCGGCCTGGGCGCAAGCCCCAGGGCTGGGTGAGCACCCCCTGCTGCTGGGGGGGCAGTGTCCCCAAGGTCTGGCTTGCGGGGGCAGGGGACAGCCCTGACCTGGCAGTTGGGAAACGGCGGGGCTGGGCTGTTCGCAGGGGGTGTTGGGGTATCCGCAGGGGACCGGGATGCTCTGCACCGGGGGGCAATGAGGCCTGCCCGGGGCCTCCAGGGGGAGGGGCTGATGGGGCTGGCATTTTCCCTCACCCAACCCCATCTTCTGCAGCTGTGTTCGGCCTGTGTGCGTTGCAAGAGCTGCGGGGCAGCCCTGGGCCGGAGCTGGGAGGCCGAGTGGACACCAGAGACCAACCTGTGCCCACCGTGTGCTGCCCTCTATGCCCAGGGTGAGTTAGGGCTGGTGGGGGGGGACTCATCTAGCTTGGCATATGACACCCGGGGGGTTAGGTGTAAAGGCAGCAGCCTGTTTCCTGCCCCTGGGGTCAGTCTGAGGGCAGGTAGAGGCCAAGAGCTTTGCTCGGTGTGGAGATGCAGCCAGCTCTGGGGTGGAGTATCTGGGGACTGGCTGAGTGCAGGTTTCGCTCTCCAACCAAGGTGTTGCCAACCATGGCTTTGAGTATTCGTGCTTAATCTGTATAGCATTTTGGCCACTGCGGTATACAGTTTTGAGTAACCGCGGGTTTCTGTGGTCACGCGTTAATTAGCCCGCCACCTGCCATTTTTCCCAGAAGCCTTTTGTCTAGCCATCCACAGTTTTGCCAACCCCAGGAACTTTCAGGAACCTAACCCCAGCGCTTGGTGAGGGAAACCTACATAACGCTGCTGGGGGAAGGCTGAAACAGTGTGCGTGTGTGGTGTTGAACTAGGGACCTGTTCCCTCCAGAAGACCCCAAGCTGGGGCCAGGCCAGGGGCACTGACTGACTCAGGCAGCTGAAATGTAGCCAACTCTGGGGTGAAGCAGCTGGAAAACAGCAGCCCAGTAGAACATTTCTGGGGGTGGCAGTGTTCCTCCGAGGGGGGGGGCATTGCCAGCTATAGCCCCCCCCTACTTGCCCCCCCCAGGTAATTACTGCCCCATCTGTTCCCACTGCTACGAGGACAACGACTACGAGAGCAAAATGATGCAGTGCGCCATGTGCGAACACTGGGTGCATGCCAAGTGCGAGGGGCTCTCGGGTCAGTGCCCCCCCCACCAACAATGCCCTGGGCCCCCATTGCCCCTCCCCTCCCTGCCTCCTCTTGCTTCCTGGCTGTCCCCAAATGGCAGTGGGGGGGTTTGCCAGGTGCTGCTTCCCCCCTGACTTGTGCTTTTCCCTATCCCCAGATGAGGGCTACGAGATCCTGTCTAGCCTGCCAGACAGCGTGGTATACGCGTGCAGGCCGTGCACAGGTGCTGATGGGGGGCGCTGGCGGGACCTCCTAGATGCCACCCTGGGCAAGGGGCTGCGGGCCGTCCTCCAGGGGCTACAGGAAGCTGAACAGGCCGCCCCCCTGCTGCAGTGTGCCCAGGTATGTTTTCCCCCCGCCCCATATGGTCCTCGAGAGCCCAGGTGTCCAGGCTTACTGCCCCCTAGCTCGTAAGTTAACAGTTCCAGTCTTTTCATGGAACTGAGATGGGAACCCAGGTGTCCGGGCTCCAGTCTTCTAGCTCCTAGTCTTCCTTCAGAGCTAGAGACAACCCAGGTGTCCTGGCTCCCAACCCCTTCCCTGAGACCAAACTGCCCCCCATCCCTATTCCACTTTCCTGCCAAAAATGGAGAGAACCCAGGTGTCCAGGCTCCCAGTCCTTCCTGCTCTACCCTGCCCACATCCCCACCCCAATTCCCCCTAGAGCTGGAGAGAACCCAAATGTCTAGGCTCCTAGCCATCCCTGCTCTATTTTAGCCCCTGCCCCCAACCCCACTTCCCTCCCTGAGCTAGAGAGAACCTAGGTGTCCAAGCTCACACCCCCAACTTGCCATAAGCTATTGGCTCTCATATTGCACATGTGGGTTGAACCCAGGCATCCGGGCTCCTCCTGGGTTGACACCCCCCCCCCCCCCAACACCTTGTGTTGACCCCCTAGTGTCAGGGGGTAGGGGGAAGGTTGGGCCCAGATAGGGTTGCAGGGAGGGAGACAGGCCAGGAGGGTCTGTAGGGCGGGGGGGGGCAGGACTCTCCACCTCCCCCCTCACCTTCCAGCCTAGTGGGGGCAGCAGAGGCCCACCTGCCCCTGCGGGGACCAATCAGGGGGTCCCTGCCCCAGGTTAACCCCCACCCCTTGCCCATGCCTGCAGTGCTCCCCCGACTCGGGTGTACACATCCACCAACACCCCTGTGACTTGCGCTCCATCGCCCGGCGCCTTGACCAGGGACACTACACCTCTGTGGTGAGTGGTGGGTGGTGACCTAGAGGCATGTTTGGGGGGGCGGGGCAACTTCAGGGCTGGGGGGCAGCTGGGGTTTGAGAACTCAGGTGTCTGGGCTCCCGGTCCCCTGTGCTCTATTGCTCTTGCTCCTCTCCCAGAGCTGGAGAGAACCCAGGCGTCCGGGCTCCCAGTCCCTCCTGCTTTGCTTTATCACCCCCTCCAAGGTGGGGGAAAGTTGTGGGGGGGGACAAGGCAGGCAGCCAGGGTTTGACCCTTCCGTCTGTCCACCCGTGCAGCTGGGGTTCAACCGGGACATGGTGGGGGTGCTGCAGCGCCAGGGCCCAGACCCAGTGGGGGGCTCCGAGCCCAGCGCCCGCCAGCTCTACCTCGAGGTACCAGGGTGGTGGGGGGGTCGGGCTTTCTGGGATGGGGGTCATCTGACCTTTTTGAGGGGGGGTCCTATGAAAGAGATTGAGGGGCTAGGCATTTGTGTTGGGGATGAGAGTAACAGGCTGAGGGAGTCCCAGGTGGGTATGAGGCTGCCTGGGTTTTGGGGGGCAGCTGGGACCCTGAGAGGGGTTGGTGTGCAGTGGGGTGACATCATTTGGGTTTTGTGGGGGGGTCTGGTGTGGATGTTAGGGGTCTGGGGTGGTTGTGAGCCT